TCAAGAAAAGTGGGAGGCAGTACCATCCTCGGGTGTCCTTACAGTCAGCGAGAGACGAGATCTGTTCCGAGACCTTTGCCTAGCAGCACAAGAGGGTGTCAACTTCCCAAGCACCACAACAGACCGACTAGTCGTCTACAGGGATCAGATAAGTGGACTTCTAGTTTGTGGTGGCAGAGTCCAGTCCTTCAAAGAAGACCGCAAAGCTGTTCCTCTTCTACCATTCCAAGCCTGGTTATCCACCTTGCTCGCCAGAGAAGCACACAGCGAGGGACATGACGAAGTGGCTGGAACCCTGCTGCGTATGAGGATGAAGGCGTGGGTCATCAGAGGAAGAATTATTGCCCAGAAAGTCGTTGACAGGTGTTTTGTCTGCAGGAAAGCAAAAGCAAGAAAATGCAAGCAAATAATGGGAAACTTACTTGAAGAGAGGTCAAGTCCTGCTGCACCATTCGAGTTCACGTCCGTTGACCTGTTTGGACCTTATCATGTGAAGGATGATGTCAAAAAGAGAGTGACCATGAAAGTATGGGGCGTCGTATTTTCCTGTATGTCCAGTCAAGCCATTCATGTCGAGCTAGCAAACACACTATCAACAGAGAGCTTTCTGCTTACCTACCAGAGGTTTGCCGCTGTCCGAGGTCATCCCCGGAAAATTTGGTCTGATCCTGGTACGAACTTCGTCGGAGCAAAGCCTGTTCTAAAAGAGATGTACACCTACCTGAATCAGCAGAACAAAGAGTCGCTTGAAGAGTATGCTGCCAAAAATAAGACAACCTGGATGTGGAAAATCCTTCCGGCCAATTCACCTCACCGAAACGGGGCCGCCGAAGCTGCTGTAAGAGTCATTAAGAGAGCCCTCCAAAATCTTGGAAATGTGGAAGGCCTTACCTTTAGTGAGTTCCTGACTGTACTTCAGCTAGCTGCCAATCTTGCCAATGAGAGACCCATCGATGCCAGAGTTCAGAGCCGAGAAGAGCGCATCCAGTACATCACGCCAAACAACTTGTTGCTTGGTCGAGCCACACAAAGTGGAGACTTCAAAACTGTCGATTACACCATTTATCCATTCGAGAGACTCAAAGAAGTACAAACTATAGTCAACAACTTCTGGAAGTCCTGGAGCCAACTTGCTGGTCCGAACCTATTCATTCGCAGTAAGTGGCATACCGCTGAAAGGAACGTTGCCGTTGGAGACATAGTTTGGCTCTGTGACCAAAACGCACTGAGAGGGCAGTTCAGGCTTGCAAAAGTCATCGGTGTGAATCCTGATTTCAGAGGTGTCATTCGAGATGTTCATGTGAGGGTCTCTCCAAACTCCAGCATTTTGGTAAGAAATCCAAATCCTGGTGCCAGAGATCCTGAATCGAGTACCATACTGCATCGGGACGTCCGGCGCCTTGTGGTCCTCGTACCCGTGGAAAGTCAAGTTGGAGACCAGCCACTTGAGAGTGCGATCTTTCCGGGCATCGCCACGTAAAGATCGAGTGGGAGGTGTCGCGCTATCCCAGTGGAGGTGTGGCTGTCTTCCGTGTACCCATTGTTTCCTTCTGTGTGCCGTCTACCTTGTGCGCCGCGCATGCACATGACCGCGGATAATCCAGCGCGCGCTCTACACGACAACCCGCACGTGACTCTGCGCGCTCTGGTGCATGCTCGACAGGTGATTGAAATTGAGGAAATTAGAAGCTCGCGCCCAGTTCAATCAGTTAACTCTAAATACGCGCATCAGTCATTTTCCTGGTATGCGACGAACTATGAGGACGGCAGAAACACAAGAATTCACTGTCAGGAACTGGGACTTTTGATCATGACGGGCTATCGGTACGCTCACATGGACTAGTTTTACAAACACTCTTGTTTCACATGAACTCTCTCGTGTTGAATCCTTTTGTCTGTTTGATATTCAATGTGCTAAATGTGTGTTAATGTTGCAGATAAAAGTGTTAATGTTGTAGGTAAAAGTTTTAAAGTAATTTGTTTCATGACTTAAAGAGATATTAAACTAAGTCTAAATGCTGAAGTTGATGATTAAAAAGAATAGAAATTAATCTAGAGAGAAAGTGATATAGTGGAAAAGTCATTTGTGTATAGATGGTAGATTAACATCTAATGAGGTGACAGTAATTAAATAGAAAATGCTTTATATATGGTTCCTGTAGAATGCATTTAATCTTTCCTGTATTGAGAATTACCAAGTATTCAAAATGCTTTTTGTATTGTATTTAAAGGTTTTTCACCTACTGTTACTACTGCTACTACATCTGATTCTGTACCTGTTCAACTGAGGAAAATAAATCTTGTTTGAGTGAAGTCCGAAGTCTGGTCCTTTTCAAGTGTGGACACCTCACAGTTAGACGACACTTGACACTAACGTTACCTCTGAGTGCAGTGGAGGACACATTTGAGCTGCATTCAGTGCAGTTAGAGCTGGAGTCCGTGGAGAAGCAGATCCGTGATCTGCTAGAGAGGCAAGCCGAGCTGCGAGATCGGTGATCAGCGCTTGAAACATCACGCGCCGATGCTCACAAGTCAGTGGTTAGTAAATTTTTGACTCCGACCTCGTCTACTCCGTGTGTTTCTCTGCACAGGACCCGAGCACCCAGGACGCGATCATCCCTGGCTTCATTCACTCCGGCACCGACACAACATCATGGACCCTGGATGATCCCACAGCGGAAGACACGAGCCAGGTCCAGAGCAAGAACCTCTCCGCCCCTTCCGGTCTTCGAGATCTCCACCCGGAACCGTTTCTCCCCTCTTCGCGAGTCGGAACGCGATGATGCCGTGATCATCGGCAGTTCCATCGTCCGTCATGTCCGCGCTACCTCAGGTAAAGGTAAGGTGCGCACTCACTGCTTTCCTGGTGCTCGTGTTCTAGATGTCGCTGCACAGGTTCCCGAGATCCTGAACGGTGACGAGCGCTTCGGAGCTGTTGTGCTGCACGCGGGAGTGAACGACATCAGGCTGTGGCAGACGGAGGTTCTGAAGAAGGACGACAGGAGCCTGATCGAGACGGTACGCAGCACATCGCCTGAAGCAACGATCATCGTGTCTGGACCACTTCCCACGTACCGACAAGGAAGAAATGGAAACAAACTAATTTAGAGGTCTTAGAATCACGTGGAAAGACAGTATGTCACGTTATAAAAAGGCTCTAAAAGCAGCCAGGGCTGAGCATCTCCGCAATTTAACACCGTGGCTAGACTAACAAATAAACAGACATCACCTGAGCAAAATATTCCGTTACAGTGTAGTAGTAATGATTTTATGAATTTCTTCACTGAGAAAATAGAAAGCATCAGAAACACAATTGTAAATGTACAATCTTTTATGGTGTCTTATGATTCAGCCTCAATTATCGCCCCTTAAGAACAACTACACCGCTTTACAACTACAGGACAGGAAGAGCTAAATAAACTTATCATTGCATCTAAACCAACAACATGTTTATTAGATCCAATACCCACTAAACTACTGAAAGAAGTGTTACCTGTAGTGGAAGAGCCTCTTCTCAATATTATTAACTCGTCTCCAAGAATATTCAAGCTGGTGTAGCAGGAAGGGTTATTACCAGAGATGGGGACTCGAGTTTGAGACTCGGACTCGAGTGCGACTTAAGTCGCACACACAGTGACTTCAGACTCGACTTGAGACTCGTCCTCGAAAGACTTCAGACTCGACTCGGACTCGAGCTGCGGGACTCGTGAACAATATTTATTTTTAGGAAACGTCTGATGAGCTCTCTGTTATTCCCCTCCCTCCGACCCGTTACCTAAAACCTGCCTACATAACACGTACTACGTGCGCGTGGCCACACATGAGAGGACAACAAACAAACATGTCGACTGCACCGGCCGCTGCTGTGCCATTCATCGTAAGCTTTGGGTTTAAAAACTTCAAACAAGACGGGCCAAATAAAAGAAGCGCTCAATGCAAAATATGCGGTATCTGCGCGCGTGCATCTCATGGTGTTCCATGAGGGAGAGAGAGCGCGAGAGGTATGGGTGAACGAGAGAGAGAGAGAGAGAGAGAGAGAGAGAGAGAGAGAGAGAGAGAGAGAGAGAGGACGTGCGAGAGGTAGTGCGGCGCGAATGCGCTACGGCGCTCTGCAATCAAATACGATTTTAAATAGGCTTAGTAAAAATAAAATAAAAAATCGAAAATCAATGTGTGGCGGTCAGCCAGTGTTTATATTGTGGCGGGCCGCCACAAATATATGAACGTATGAGGAACCATGTATTTCACATCATTTGGTTCCAATAGTGTTTTGCATTTAGCTACACTGTGATGTTTTGCACTATGTCAATTTTAGTGCTTTGAGGTAGGCTATAACATTTTCTATATTTGGTATTATGGCTCCAGCTCCACAGAGCCAGCACAATAGGAGCCAAGGCCTTTCATTATAATTCAGCAACAGACATGAGAGTCCTTTTTCCTCAGAACCTCAATTTTTACAGATGCAGATATTAACTTAAAAGTAAAGCATTCTTGGTGTTTTTGTCATGTTGAAATAGCCTGTTTACACTGATTATATACCTAAATCAAAGCTGATACTGTATGCCAATAGATAAAGGAGTCATAATAACATTACATGCTTTGAATTCCTTATATATAGCTATGAAGTGTTCTAAGCAGCCTGGATGGGTCGCTGTACGTGATGCAACACTTATTATAACCACAAGAGACTTGACTTGGACTCTAGTTCAGAGACTTGAGACTTGACTTGGACTCTAGCTCAAAGACTTGAGACTTGACTTGGACTCTAGTTCAGAGACTTGAGACTTGACTTGGACTCTAGTTCAGAGACTTGTAAGCATCTCTGATTATTACCCCTCCTACCTCTTACGTCATCATTTAGTGTTTGGCCAATGGCCAGGGTTCCGGTGCGTATAAGAGCGCGAGCTACCAATTTCTTGGCATGCGTCATTATCCAAGGTCGTGACGTCATCTATGCGCCCTGCTGCTTTCTGCTGGGTTCAGCGTAACGTGTTGCTTGTAAAATTTGCCGAAGCTGTTTATCCACTGGTGTTGTTGGCGGGTCTATGGGCTTGTTTGGAGAGTTGAATGTGGACATTTGAGACAGGTAAGAGAAGTATTCGTGTGCGGGGTGGTTTATAGATGAAGTTTTATGGTTTGCTTTGACGAGGCGAGTAATCTGACTGATCTGTATGCTTAGTGTACGATTTATCGGTGCTTCATGCCAACGAGCTTGTCGGAGACATTCGCCTCCATCTATCGCATATTCTGGGGATGGTGATTCTGGGACAGCGTACTTGGTTGTGAGTATACTGTTTGAGCGTAAGCCAAGGGAGAAGAACTCTCAGTGTAACACCTCTCTGTTTTATTTTTTAGGCATGCGATAAGGACGATACCGACCTTCTGAATGAGTATTATCTGCCCTGTGTTTCGCCATACGACTTTGTTCGCGCTGTGCCTCATCAACTGCTGTTCTGTTTGGGTTCTGTTTTGTGTGTGCTGTTTCGTTACGAGTGAGTCGTCTCGAGTGAACCGTTCAAGTGAACCATTTCAAGTGAACCGTCCTAAGTGAGCCATTCAAGTGAACCATTTCAAGTGAATCGTTCTAAGTGAGCCATTCAAGTGAACCATTTCAAGTGAACGGTCTCCAGCAAGGGATGACTCTGTGTCTGTGATATGTTTTGAGTTTGTTGTAGCAACATTGAGTTTTGCATTAATTAGCTCAAATTATATATAGGGAATTTTAATAATTAATCATGAATATGATTAATATGTTGCATATTACAGTTAACTTATCGAAATTGAAAATAGATCGATTGATATATATGAATGATCAATCACAACGAATTATAATTCCTCATTCATATATCAATGGTCTCATCACAGATCGATTATATGAGATAACTTTAAGGGAATTAATTTAGTTATCAAACAATCGGTTTGTCCAGCAAACGACCGTAAGATTAATTTATCAACTTCTCAACAAAGTTATCCCTTTTTATAAACTCCGAGAAATATCAATTTTCTGGCCGTGAACATTAATTTTCCTGTGTTTATAAAATTTAGGTTACTGAAATAGTAACAAATTGTAAAGCTTTGTAGCTATAGATCAATCATTTCATTGACTTGTAAATATGAGCCTTTTAGACAGAAACAATCAAGAATATAATGGCTTTAATAATTGGACTAATAATACATCGAACTACAATTCACACAGAATATATATGTACAGTATACACCCGAAACAAACAAACGAAAAACATTACAAACACGAATTAAAATTGGATGAGAGAGGAAGATAAAAATGAGGGAGAGAGAGAGAGAGAGTGGGGAAGAGAGAGAGAGAGAGAGAGAGAGAGAGAGAGAGAGAGAGAGAGAGAGAGAGAGAGAGAGAGAGAGAGAGAGAGAGAGAGAGAGAGAGAGAGAGAGAGAGAGAGAGAGAGAGATTGAGGGAGAGAGAGATTGAGAGTAAGAAGATCTGGAGAGATCTTCTTGTGGCAAAAGTCCCAAACACAACCTTGAGAGGCACAAAGATCAAATCCCCTGAATGGGGCAAACAGATCTTAAAGCATTTAGATCGATAGGAATTACGATACTTGCATGATTCTTTCTCGTGGCTGAGAACGAAAGCGTGTGTGTGTGTCTCTGTCCTCGTGTCACGCGTTCACGTGGTCTTTCAGAGCGAGGGAGCGCGTTAGTTTGAATGTCCTTTGAGGTGCAGTTGCTGGTTGGTTCAAAGAGTCTCTTTAAAGTTGAAGTTGCCGATTACGTTCATTTCACTGAAACTGAACGTAGGAAAGTCCGAAGACGAAAATAAAGAAAGATTAAAGAAAAAGGAGAAACACGGCGTAAAGCTCCCTAAGGAGCCATGGAACCGGAAACCTCTCACAGGGAAAAAGCTCTCTAGTGCTCAGGAAGAAACTTCTGTGTCAGTCTCTTATGGAGAGGAGGGGTACGTGCTTCGCGTACGTGAACCAATTATCTTAGAGTATCTCGAGCGAGAAAAGTTCTTCTTTGTCTTGTCAGGATAATTTATGATGGTATGAAATTTTGTCATTTCTACCCAGAAAGATTGTACACACAGAACAATACATTTTACTGTAATATCCTATGTATGACTTGTTTAGTCAAAACAAGACGGTCAAACAGGTACCAAGAATGGCCGGAAAGAGTGGAAGAAACATAAAGTTACATTCATTTGCAGAATTACACACATTTAATGTTCACTCACACGACTATAAAGCCATAATACCGGCTACCATGACCTAGGAAAGATCAAATTCATTTTTATACATTTCTTAAGTGGTTATACTTATAGAAAATGTAAGATTGCAGAGTCTATTCCTCTTTCTTTATCAGAATTCAAGTGGGAGCTGTGACTCCCTTGGAATTCCTTTTGGGGGTCATAAAGTTTATGACCTAGCAAGAGGGAGAGTTACAGAAGGTGATCCTGTTAGGGAATCTTTCTTACTTATAGTATATACTTAAGTATACTTAAGTATATACTCGAATCTTAAGTATACTTAAGATTCGAAGTTACAGAACAGTCTCAAATTACATCTATAGAATAAGACAAAACTAATTAGATATGCATGCATACAGGAAGGTCAGATACAATTCTGTGTTATATACATTAAGGACATTTCTATCCTAAGTTACCCACAAAGGACGTCTGTGTGCGGGTATGTGTGGTGTGCATCTGTCCATCCGTGGTGTGTACCACGTGAGGGTTTAGTTTGCAAATGGTTGTCTTCAAGACAAAGGGTAGTTTTGTGTTTAAATCCACTTATCAGACAATAATTGATGAGGGGGGGAAACTAGCTTGAGACCCTGAATGGATCAGTTCTTATTCTTTGTGACTGAACACAAATTGCAAGCAGTGTAAGAATTTGAGAACAACGGGGACCTGTTTCTTGATTACGCAATGCGTCATAAATGAAGTTAATCAATGACCTGCTGGCAGACATTGGGGCACCATATCACATGATTCAAGGTTTTGTGAATTAAACATATATGTGTTCATATTTGTTCAGTAGTGAAAGGAAAACAGGATTCGGTCAGTCGCTACATTGTGTTGTTTCCTTTTTCTGGCTTATTTCCTTAACTATTCGAGACTGAGTATTTTTGAAGTCGTGTTTTGTTTTGAACTAAATTATTGTACTAGTGAATATATATATATATATATATATATACACTCACCGGCCACTTTATTAGGTACACCTGTCCAACTGCTCGTTAACACTTAATTTCTAAGCAGCCAATCACATGGCGGCAACTCAGTGCATTTAGGCATGTAGACATGGTCAAGACAATCTCCTGCAGTTCAAACCGAGCATCAGTATGGGGAAGAAAGTTGATTTGAGTGACTTTGAACGTGGCATGATTGTTGGTGCCAGAAGGGCTGGTCTGAGTATTTCAGAAACTGCTAATCTACTGGGATTTTCACGCACAACCATCTCTAGGGTTTACAGAGAATGGTCCGAAAAAGAAAAAACATCCAGTGAGCGGCAGTTCTGTGGGCGGAAATGCCTTGTTGATGCCAGAGGTCAGAGGAGAATGGCCAGACTGGTTCGAGCTGATAGAAGGGCAACAGTGACTGAAATAACCACTTGTTACAACCGAGGTATGCAGCAAAGCATTTGTGAAGCCACAACACGCACAACCTTGAGGCGGATGGGCTACAACAGCAGAAGACTCCACCGGGTACCACTCATCTCCACTACAAATAGGAAAAAGAGGCTACAATTTGCAAGAGCTCACCAAAATTGAACAGTTGAAGACTGGAAAAATGTTGCCTGGTCTGATGAGTCTCGATTTCTGTTGAGACATTCAGATGTTAGAGTCAGAATTTGGCGTAAACAGAATGAGAACATGGAACCATCATGCCTTGTTACCACTGTGCAGGCTGGTGGTAATGGTGTGGGGGATGTTTTCCTGGCACACTTTAGGCCCCTTAGTGCCAATTGGGCATCGTTTAAATGCCACGGCCTACCTGAGCATTGTTTCTGACCATGTCCATCCCTTTATGGCCACCATGTACCCATCCTCTGATGGCTACTTCCACCATGTCACAAAGCTCTAATCATTTCAAATTGGTTTCTTGAACATGACAATGAGTTCACTGTACTAAAATGGCCTCCACAGTCACCAGATCTCAACCCAATAGAGCATCTTTGGGATGTGGTGGAACGGGAGATTCGCATCATGGATGTGCAGCCGACAAATCTGCGGCAACTGTGTGATGCCATCATGTCAATATGGACCAAACTCCCTGAGGAATGCTTCCAGCACCTTGTTGAATCTATGCCACGAAGAATTGAGGCAGTTCTGAAGGCAAAAGGGGGTCCAACCCGTTACTAGCATGGGGTACCTAATAAAGTGGCCGGTGAGTGTATATATATATGTGACCAGTTACGGAAACTAGGGACACAAGTCGGTTCTGGGGCATTTTGAGTTATTCATAGATTCTGAAAGTGTAGTCTCCAAGCTTTCCAACAATGTGTAACACATGGAAATCTGATAATACTTAGAGAAGTTGTGGCCATTTGAAGGTAGGCACTTAAAATAACTAAAAGTTAAGATAACAGCCTCTAAAGATGTGCAGTTCTCACCTCTCTCTGCTGGGGGGAGTGACAATAGGGCTCATTTACATCTCATTTAGATAAGCCATACCCCCTGTAAAGCTTCCCCCTGTGCTTTACAGCTTTTTTTCTTTCCTGAGCTAGCTAATAACAATAGGTAGGTATTGGGAAGGTCTAAACAGACTAAACATGCGATAACGTGTAGCCTACGTGTTCTTAGAATGAACACAAAACGACAAACTTTAATGTTTATGGAAACTCACCCCCAGGACCGGCGAATGCACTTCTGCCGCTCTAGGCAAAAAACAATTGTGCTGCCCCTCTATTTGCAACGTATACCAGCAACAACACACAAAGACCAATATGCCATACATATAACGCAAAACCAGCAACAACACACAAAGACCAAAATGCCATATACATATAACGAAAAACCAGCAACAACACACAAAGACCAATAAGCCATAGGCCTACATATAACGCAAATAGTGCGCAACGCGCGTGTGCCCAAAATGTCAACAGTTTATGCAGGAGGCAAATGTCTGCTGGCATTTTTCTTTAAGCAGTCATGACAGGAATTTTCCAAATAATCACATTTCACTTCCTCAAATTACTGTTGCAAATCTCTTTACATCACTTTCTTATGTGCATATACACACACAAATGAAATGTCCGCAAGCACATTATATCATCAGCAGGTTCAGCATCTTAAATAACGACTAGAGAGCAAATGAAGCTTAACTTACGTTTCAGAAACGCGCACAGCAGGCCTTCATTGCAGCAAAGGTCTTAACTGCATCCTCTATTTCGATTCTCTGTGCCAGTTCATGTTGTTGCCAGTCCATTAAGTCTGTTCCCTGTTCACAAAACGTTCCCCATTCAAAGCAATCGGGATGTCACATATGAAACAGCCAGCCACCGTTGTCAGCGAGCCGAGCCGCCGTATTCAAGCACCGAGAGCGCGCGCGCCGCGCCCGATACCTCCGGTTCAGTTTCCCGAGCCCACAAAGTGCGGCGAAAACATTTTCGATGTAACTGCCACGGTTCAGCTCGTCTGCGACAATCTTTGCGGCGTCCATCTTCATTGAATTTTGATATAAGATAGAGCAGGAGCAGAGCGCTGCATATTAAGTAGCCACGCTGTTGGGGGGCGGGGGGCAAAGGCGCGGGCGGCTATTCAGTATGGAAATGCACACAGACAATGACACGCCCCTACTGCATGCTAGAATCTCCGAAAAACAAGCCGATTTCAACCTCAAAATGTACGCTTTTAAATATACCAATACTGTTATCTCAAACATGGAGAGGCTTCTTCATGATCTCAACTAACAGATTCTGCAAAAAAGCGGAAATCATTTTTTGATTTTTCTCAAAAAAATTCTTCTTTCTCATTTTGCTCGCAAGTTGTGCTGCCGACTTGTGTCCCTGGTTTCTGTAACGGGTCACATATATATATATTTGTGGTTGAATTGTACTGCTGAATTTGTGTGATTTGTTGTTATTTTTGGTTTTTGATTGGCGACGATCAGGTCGGGACCAAGGAGTTGGTTCCGCCCTGGAATTGTATAACAATTTTCATCATTTTGTTGTTATTTTGTTTTGCATAACACTGCTCTTTAATGTCTTTTTTCTTTTGTTTGTTGGCAGGGCCTGGGCACCCGGGGGCAGACGAGAGAGCAATTAGGTGGTAGGGTCCTCACTGTGTGTCGTGGTCTTCTCTGACATGAGTCGTGGAGTGTGTGCTGTGCTGGTGTTTGTGCACTGAATAGAGTACTCTTCATAGAGGTGATACCTCGAGACTGCCCTTGGGTAAGCCCAGGTTTCCCTGTCGCCCACTCAAGAACCTAGTAAATTGAAGAAAGTGATTGCTGGTCAACACCTTTTATAGAAAAAGAATTGCCTTTTAACAATTAATAAAATATATATGTTCCCTTTCGTTGTCACTCCGAGTTCCGTCGGATGACGACGAATGGGGGGGGTTTCGCTTAGGAAGCCTATCGACTTCGAGTACTACAAAACGAGCCAATGGCAAAGAAATGCCATGGGTCTGCGGAATTTGCATAGCGTAACTCCGCCTCACCTCGTGGGTATTTAAGGAGGACGCTGGCAGCAATTCAGGCATGTTTTCGCTTCGGAGCCAAGAGCATCTCTTCACTCCACAGCCATTTCTGACTTCACTCTATGAGACGAGCCACTCTCTCCGGTGTTGGTGTGACGGCGATCTGCAGCGAGTTCACATTGCCTGCTGATCTGTGCAGTGATCTGCCAATGAGTGTGTTTCTCCCTGCTCGCTTCAACATCGCAGAGTTTTTTTCTCCTCTCACAAAAGAGCTCGCACGCGGCACGTCTTTTTAAAGACGGCTCGCCCGTGCATTTCTGGTTGCGGTCGACTCATTTCCGGGCACATTCTCTGCTCTGCGTGCTTGGGCTTGATCATGCTAGAGCAGCGTTTGTGGATGACTCACGTTCTCCCCGCGGGAACATGACCATCGCGTCATTTCGGTCGAGACTCAATGATCTCGTTAGAGAGAGAGTCCCCTCATCCACACCCCGATCTAACACTCTCCACGTGAGGTGCTACTTCGGCTGGTGGCCAGGGTGACCTGAGGGTGTGAGTGTGGAACAAATCCGCCGACTGTTTGTCCGTGGACCACGCCCCCCTCTTCAGTGACGCAACCCGCGAGTGTTCAGGGGATTCCCCGGGTCTATTTTCGGATGCCCCGCGGGTTTCCCTTGACACTCCAGAATCGGATCTGTTGTCCATCGCAGCATCACAGGGCGGGCTAGAATCTTCAGGAAGTGAAGATTCGACAGTGCTGCCACTTTCGGGTGTGCATATGGCATTTGTCGAGTCAGATCCTGAGATGACGGCCATGCTTTCCCGGGCCGCTGCGAGCATCGGACTAGAGTGGAACCTTTCACCTTGTCCGAGCGCTCGCTGCTGGTCGATTGGTTTTGGGTGTGGCCGCTGACTCCTGTCGGCGTCCACTCCAATGCCTTTCTTCCCGGATGTGCATCAGGAGATCTCGAAATCCTCGAAGACCCCCATGTCTTCCAGTGATCCCTTGTTGATCTCCTCCGTCCTTCCTTCCCTCGACGGAGCGCTACAGGACAGGCAGCCGCCTCACTGCATGCCATGGCCATTCTGATGGTCTACCAGACCCAGATGCTCACGGACATGCACGAGGGCAGGACTGACCCAGGGCTCTTCAATGAGCTGCGCGCCGCCACTGACCTTGCTCTCCGAGCGACGAAAGTGGCCGTACGCTCCCTGGGTCAGGTGATGTCCACCATTCTGTGGCTGAACCTGTCTGATGTGCAGGATGTCGGGCGGACCCATCTTCTTGACACCCCCATATCCCAGGTCGGCCTCTTCGGCGGTGCGGTTGAGGGCTTTGCCCAACAGTTCTCAACCGCCCACGAGCAGACTGAGGCTTATTCTGCCCCGACGGCCCGCCGTCCGAGCAGATCCCTCAGTCTGCCCACCGCCGAAGGCGCCCTCCTGTGGCTCCCACACCGCCCGTTCACCCGGGCTGGCTCTGGAAGCCGCAGGGGGACGCCACAGCCCTCTCCAGCCCCGCCCCCCGCTATACGCCGGGTTAAGCGGCACTCTTGAGATGGGCTGCTCAGAGATGAGACTCAGTTCTTTCCAGGAGCTGGTAGCAGGGCCACTCCTTTCCCTGGTGGAGGGCCGATGAAGAATCCTTATTCCCAGAAAGAACTGACTCTCCCCTCTCTGAGCACAGAGAGTTCTCGGACGACACGGTGCGCCGCCCCCGGGCCGTGCACCCCTCGTCCTCCTCTGTCCCAGAGCCGGATGACAGTGCGCGCCGTCCCCGGACCGTGCCGCTCTCATCCTCCTCTGTCGCCAGACCCCTGGCAGAGCAGACCCCCGTGGAACGTTCGTCCTTCCCTGGTCTCCTCTGTCAGGACGCGGTCTATGACTGTGCCCCCACACCGGGCCGCTATGCCGTCCACGTCTGGGCCAGTCATACCGCCTCGCTGCCCCACCGACGGGAAGTCTGTGGTTCGCGTGACCCCGCTGGTACAGTTCTTGGGAGCCTGGCTAGAGCTTCCCAACCTGTCCCGCTGGGTCGCATGAATGATCAGGCTCAGCTACGCGATTCAGTTTGCGCGGTCTCCTCCCCGCTTCAGGGGAGTCCGCTCCACTATGGTCGGTGGCAATGCCCCTGTCATGAGAGTGGAGGTTGCTACCCTGCTGGCGAAGGGTGCGATCGAGACTGTCCCTCCAGCCGAAATGAGGTCCGGCTTCTTCAGCCCGTACTTCATTGTCCCGAAGAAAACCGGTGGGTTACGGCCAATCCTGGACCTGCGCGTGCTGAACCGCTCCCTTCACAGGATGCCGTTCAAGATGCTCACGGCCAAACGCATTTTCGAATGTGTGAGGCCCCAGGATGGTTTGCAGCGATCGACCTGAAGGACGCCTACTTTCATGTCTCCTTTCTCCCTCGACACAGACCGTTCCTACGGTTTGCTTCGAGGGGCAGGCATATCAGTACGCGGCTCTCCCATTCGGGCTAGCCCTGTCTCCTTGCGTCTTCACGAAGGTCGTCGAGGCAGCCCTTGTTCCCCTTCGGGAACACAGGGTTCGCATCCTAAACTATCTCAACGACTGGCTGATCCTAGCTCACTCTCGAGACCAGGTTTGCGAACACAGGGACTTAGTGTTCCGGCACTTAGCCCGTCTGGGCCTTCGGGTCAACTGGGAGAAGACAAAACTTTGCCCCGTGCAGAGGATCTCTTTTCTCGGTATGGACATCGACTCGGTCGCCAATACCGCGCAGTTTACGAGCGAGCGCGCGCAGTCACTGCTGACTTGTCTGAGACAGTTTGAGGGCAAGAGTGCGGTTCCACTGAAACTTTTTCAGAGGCTCCTGGGGCATATGGCATCTGCAGCCGCGGCGACGCCGCTCGGATTGCTTCATATGAGACTGCTTCAGCTTTGGCTTCGCGACCGAGTCCCGAGGTGGGCATGGCATCACGGCACTCTCCGAGTACTAGTACTCCGACCTGCCGTCAGACCTTCACCCCGTGGTCGAACCTCAGTTTCTACGGGCCGGAGTGCCCCTGGAACGAGCTTCCCGGCATGTTGTTGTAACAACAGATGCCTCTGCCACGGGCTGGGGCGCCATGTGCAATGGATGTGCTGCCGCGGGCTCCTGGACAGGACCCCACCGCCTATGGCACGTCAATTGCCTCGAGTTGCTGGCTGTACAGCTCGCCCTGCGCCGCTTCCGAGCCGTGCTCAGGGGCCAGCATGTACTAGTCCGATCAGACAATACCGCGACTGTAGCGTACATCAACCGTCAAGGTGGTCTGCGCTTCCGCCGTATGTCGCAACTCGCCCGCCACCTCCTCTAATGGAGTCAGAAGCATCTGAGGTCGCTTCGTGCCGTTTATATTCCTGGAGCCCTGAACTGTGCAGACGAGCTCTCACGGTTTCAGCCCCTCCCTGGAGAATGGCGACTCCATCCCCAGTCGGTTCAACTGATTTGGGACCAGTTCGGGGACGCACAGATAGATCTGTTTGCCTCTCACGACTCGACCCATTGCGCCCTGTATTATTCCCTGACCGAGGGCACGCTCGGCACGGATGCACTGGCGCACAGCTGGCCGCGGGGCCGCAAATATGCGTTTCCCCCAGTGAGCCTTCTTGCGCAGACCCTGCGCAAGGTCAGGGAGGACGAGGAGCAGGTCTTGCTGGTTGCGCCGTATTGGCCCACCCGAACCTGGTTCTCCGAACTCATTCTCCTCGCGACAGCACCTCCTTGGCCCATACCTCTGAGGAAGGACCTACTTTCTCAGGGACGGGGCACCCTGTGGCACCCTCGTCCCGATCTCTGGAGCCTCCACGTGTGGCTCCTGGACGGGACGAGGCAGGTTTGAGTACCCTACCACCAGCGGTGGTGGCTACCATCACTTCCGCTAGAGCGTCGTCCACGAGACACGTCTACGCGTTGAAGTGGAACCTCTTCGTCAACTGGTGCTCTTCTCACCGAGTAGACCCCCGAAGATGTTCGATCAGCGTCGTGCTTTCCTTCCTTCAAGATGGGTTGGAGCGAAGGCTGTCTCCCTCCACCCTCAAGGTCTATGTCGCCGCTATTGCCGCACAGCATGATCTTATAGAAGGTAAGTCGGTGGGGAAGCACGACCTGATCGTCAGGTTCCTGAGAGGAGCGAGGAGACTGAATCCTCCTCGCCCTCCTCTCGTACCCTCTTGGGACCTCGCAGTGGTTCTATCTGCCCTGCGGAGTGCTCCCTTTGAGCCTTTGCAGTCAGTCGAGCTTAACTTCCTGTCTATGAAGACAGCTCTTCTGACTGCATTGGCCTCCATCAAGAGGGTAGGGGACCTGCATTTATTCTCGGTTGACGAAGCGTGCCTGGAATTCGGGCCGGCTTACTCTCACGTGATCCTGAGACCCCGGCCTGGATATGTGCCCTAGGTTCCTACCACTCCCTTCCGGGACCAGGTGGTGAACCTGCAAGGCTGCCCCCGGAGGAGGCAGACCCAGCCTTGGCACTGCTCTGTCCAGTACGTGCTCTCCGCATCTATGTAGACAGAACGCAGTGTTTCAGGACCTCAGACCAGCTCTTTGTCTGTTATGGTGGGAAGCTGAAGGGAAAGGCTCTCTCCGAACAAGGTTGTCTCACTGGATAGTGGACGCCATTGCTTTGGCATACCAGCAGCAAGGTCGACCGTGCCCCCTTGGTGTGACTGCCCACTCCACCTGGAGTGTGGCGTCCTCTTGGGCTCTAGCGCATGGCGCCTCGCTAACAGGCATCTGCAGAGCTGCAGGCTGGGCGACACCCAACACATTCGCCAGATTCTAC